TTCTTCTTTTTTTTTCTTAACATATATTGCATTATTTGTTTCAGAGGTACAGATTTGTGATTCAACAGTCTTGCACAATTCACAGTGCTCACCATAGCACATACCCTCCCCAATGTCTATCACCCAGCCACCCCATCCCTCCCACCCCCCCCCCCTCTCCAGCAACCCTACCATAACTTTTTGATTTGTCAATTTTAGATATTCTCTTTTATTTGCTTCTCTTATGGATAATAATTTTACTAATTTATTTTTTTAAGGTTTTATTTATTTATTTGTGTGTGTGAGAGAGAGAGAGAGCACAAGCAGGGGGATCAGCAGGCAGAGGGAGAAGCAAGCTCGCTGCTGAGCAGGGAGCCTGATGTGGGACTCGATCCTAGGACCCTGGGATCATGACCCGAGCTGAAGGCAGATGCTTAACCAACTGAGCCACCCAGGAGTCCCAATTTTACTGATTTAAACCACTGACTGTACACCCATCTTCCTAATACATTTAATCATTTTTAATTCTTCTTTTGTTTACCATTTTGATTTTAAACAGTAATTTAACCTTTGTTTCTTGTTTTATCACTTATAAATGTTTTTTGCTTCTATACTTTATAAGGTACGGTGTTAGTGCTCACTAGATATTTTTACAAGTTTGGAACAGCTTTGTTCAGATGGAGCATAGAACACCGTGATTACTTTTCTTCTTAATGGCAATTAAGTAGTGATCCTCGTCTTCCATCTCTTAAGTGCATTTTCTCTTGCAACTCTCTTGTATTTTCTCTATGTAATTCATGTCTGTGTGATAGCAATAGATGACTTGATGGATTTTATCTGGCTATCTATGCTTGCATGTTAGTAAGTTTTTTAAATATGTAGCTCCTACGCAGTAGAAACCCAGGTCAGTTTAATTTTTTTTGTTATTTTATCTGGCATAGCTCCACATGCAATAAGGTCATTACAAAAGTGCCTTTTAAAAATACTTATCAGTAAACGTATTCAAATAACTCTTGTTCAGTTAATGACGGAATAGAAGGCCTTGCATGGCAGGGTAACCCAAATAGTTATGTTTTGATTCTCCAAGCTTTTCATTATTTCCTATAAAAGAAACTCATCAATATATTGGGAAATTTTAATTTTAAAGTCTCGGGGCACCTGGGTGGCACAGTTGGTTAAGCATCTGACTTTGGCTCAGGTCATGATCTCAGGATCCTGGGATCGAGTCCTGCGTCAGGCTCCCTGCTCAGCGGGAAGTCTGCTTCTCCCTTTCCCTTTGCCCCTCCCTCTGCTCGTCCTCGCTCTCTCTCCCTCAAATAAATAAAATCTTAACAAAATTTTTAAAGTCTCTGAGACTTTATGAAGTTATGGAAACATTTCGGTTTTTCACACCTTCTATCATCTAGTCTCTGAGACAGTTAGTGTTGGGCTGGGACCTGAAGGTGAGGGAACAAATGTAACAAGGTCTACACAAGCATAGTTTGGTCAGAGGATGATGAATTCTGGCACTCAAGTTTTTCGAACACTTAAACTCCTCTTGTAGACAGGTAATGATTAGATGTTGTAACATTCTTAATAAATTACTAGCAATTGCAATTAGAGAGAAATGGGGTTAGAGGCATCATCAATGCCTTATATCATTATAGATAGTAGTGTTAGACTAAACTTAGCAAATTGGAATATTGAATAGAAACTAGGATAATGAAATGTAGCTGGGGACAAATACAAAGCATTATGGTTGGAGAGGAAAAATAGCATAAAATCCAGAGAATGGATAACTGTAAGTAAAGTTGGAAACCCCCTTAGTAGTAAAGGAATAACAAGATTAGTGTAAGTTAACAATGTAGTGTTGTGGTGAAAGCAAACACAATGCAAAGTCACATAAATAAGAATTAAGAACGCAGGAAAGTTGAGGTTATTTTCCCGTAGTTCTTGCCACTGGTCAGGCCCTTATGAGAGCATTGTTTCTAGTTCTGGGCTCTACCACTAAGGAAGGACGTGGAGAACTTGGAGAAGGTTCAGAGGAGGACCACAAAGATGATTAAAGGGTTGAAAGAGAAACCTAAAAGAAAAATTTTTAAGTAGCAGGGATTATTATTATTCCAGAGAAGAGAAGATTTAGAGGTATTTAACTTATGTATAAAGGATGGAGACCAGATGTTCTCAATCTTCACTGAAGGTCAAACAAAAAGAAATCAATTTAACCTGCAGCATGAAGGATTTGGATTAAATATGAGCTGAATTTTACATTTAGAAAGTTAGAATAAGTGACTATGGGACACGTGAAATTTTTTGTTACACTGTAGATCCTTACTGATAACATCAAAGTGCTCACAGGGCATTTGAAGTATTTATTGTTCTAATAGGTCATTAGGTAAACATGCATTTTTTCATTTTTTTTTTCTGACTGAGGAAAATCAACAGTTCATCAAGAAATTCTGACTTTATGATCAGCCGTTATGGCAAAGGTCTCTAGTGGACTTGACAGCGGTAATGTAATTTGAGTTATACTCAGTTCTGTTAATAAGACAGTGTAGTTTGATGTTTCATTAAATCAGAAGGATAGTCAATATGACCTCTTTCCCTACTTTCTTGTTACTATGCCATGCATTAGAAGATAGAGGACAGCTGTTGCTTATTAACTGGTTTGAGGTAAAAATCAATAAAAAATGTGATCATATTTAAGTTTTAAATATATTTATATTTTAGCTTTTAACTTTTATATACATATGTACAGAAAATAAAGTACTGTGGTGGTGTTTTTTCTGGGAGTAACCCTTTCATATGCATTTTTAAAAAGCAGTCAAGCTTTCCAAATCATTGTTGTTAAATTCTTTGCCTGACCATAAATAAAAATTATTTATCCTTGCAAATTGACTACCAAAGTACTGCCTAACAGAACTAGACTATTGGTTGCTTGTGGCTGGATTAAAAGACGCATATACTCACAAAAGAAACATTTTTCTTCCTATTGAGCAATGTTTTGCATGTGTATTATGCTTTCTCCTTTTTTGCTTTAAATAGCTTCTTTGGTTTTGAGGTTTTTGAGGAAGAAGACAAAATAAGCTGTGTACTTTATTTTGCGGCAAGGAGCTGTTGTGGTCTACCATGTTGTGTAAAACTAAAAAGATGCTGTAGTAAAAAATTTAGAAAGAAAACAATTTTAGATGTTGTAAAGGGTGTAACATTATTTGTATAAACTGGCCTTGCCTTTTAAATAATACAAAATGGACTGATCAATTTTTCATTGTTTATAAAGCATTTCCATTATATGTTGATGCCAAATTGAATTTTTTTCTTTTTTTTTCTTTTTTTTAAAGATTTTATTTATTTATTTGAGACAGAGAGAATGAGAGA